CACACCAAACTCAGCTGAAATAATCTAATTTTAAACAACAGAAGCGACCCACAACCTCTGTGGCTGCAGACTTTCAGAGGACCTTGGACACTTCCTCAGTCACACTGAGCTGCATTAGCATCAATGCTTTTTATTCTCCTTCCTAACATGTATGCGTGTCTCCTGTGTTCTATAGACGACAGTAGTCCAGGGGAGGAGGTGCAGGCAGCACTATGTTAATGTGCCAGTGAGCCAGAGTCGCTGCAGGGCAGGGGGGTGGGTGGCTCATAATAATGATGGGAGAGATGTGCGGGAGGGGAGTGGAGAGTGTGTGTGTGTGTGCGCGCGCGCGCGTGTGTGTGTGTGGATGGGGGTAGTCAATAGCTCATCCCCACATTGTCCCAGGATCCCCCACTGGCGCCGTGCAAGAGCGCAAGGCAGGAGCCCAAACGGTTCAGAGGACTGCGCCGCTTTTTAAGGTAGTCTGGAAGCAATCAGTCAGGGGAAAAGGTCTGTCACAGGGATTGTGGAAGTGGCTGCAGACGCACACTGTCCCCTCCTCTCTCTCCCTACATCTCCCTGCCCTTCCATTTATGTGTGTGACTATTCTCCAGACCCCAGGAAGTAGCCAATTTTATCTAACCGTTTTCCATTTCAATGGGCACCTGGGTGCTGCGTCCTAGCAGTTTTCTAAGCCTCGCCCACCGAAATAGCAATGTGTCTGTCTGTCTGTCGCTTCGTAATCCCTCTCGCCCGATACCGTAATGGCGTTGTGGAAACGTCAAGCCAGATGAGAATGATTGGAGAGATGACCTTTAATCCAGAGGCATTAACTAGGAAAATGTAGACAGACATTGAAATGGAAACGGTTACGATAAATTTGGCTAATTCTCCTTGGGTCTGGAGACATTAGTCACACACACTAAATGGTAAGGGCAGGGAGAATGTTATTGGAAGGATGAGGAGGAGGGGACAGGTGGTGCGTCTGCGCCACTTCCACACAATCCCATAGTGCAGACCCTTTCCCCTGACTGATTGCTTCCACAAGTACGCCTTCAAAGAAGCCGAGTCCTCGATGGAACC